CGAAACAAACGATAGCGTAAAATGAAACGATAGATGTTTTTATATCGTCATCTGATATACATCGTTATATCGAACAGCCCTACAAGACAGTGTGATATGTCATGTCTAGTAGTTCATCTCAGTTTGTTAAACCATAACGACCCCGTCATTTCCTCTTCATAATTAGACACAAGTATCCAGTAATCATCAGCTGCCACATGTGAAAACTTTTCGGTTTAAGCTTCTCTTTCATCTCCTGATTTTCACCTTTAATTTATATTCCTTGTTTGTGTTGTGTCTCAGAGTACAGTCTGCTAGGAGGAAACCTACCAAATCTGAGCTCAGTGAGCCATTCACACATGTGGATTTCAGGGTCCGGATCCTGGAGGACCCTCTGATGGAGGTGCTCACACCCCAAGGTAAATTTAAAGCTTTTAGCTCTGAGGTCACATCTCCAGTTCCTGTATGAGGTGAGACAGTTTGTGTCTCTCTGGAAGCTTTTCTGCTGAGACTCTGAAATGTTAACAGTCTGTCTATAAAGAGGCTCTGTGAGTGCCTGCAGGCTTGTACAAAATCAACACACGGGTCTGAGTCATGTTAACGTATTCATCATATTTAAAGAAATTTCGCCTCAAATAACAATGGGCCATTTTAAACCAAATGACTGTAACTGATATATAACTGTGAACCTTTTAGATTGTCTCGGTAATCGCCAGCTGTGACTGTGACCAGCACAAGCTACAGCAGCAGTATATCCTCTCTAACTCGTGTTATTAGTTCAGACTCTTACCTACTTGGCTTTTGTGTTCCCAGTGTTTCTGAAAAGCCGCATTCAGGAGCTGCGGTGTCCTTATGATCTACAGGAGGCTGATTTCCTGGACCAGCTGAGGTCTTCCATCCCTCAGCTGGCTGCAGGTAAACCTTTTGACATCCTCACTGCTGACAAAAGCCGGGTACTGCAGCCGCTGAGTGTGGACACGCTGACACCGGCGGAGATCCACAGAGCCATCACCTTAAGGAGAAACACTACTCTCTTCGTCCGACTGAAGGTACCGTGTAAACTTGAGACCAAGCATTTGATCTGTCGGTCATAAAAATAAGGACAGTGTTGCTGTTTTTGGTGGAAACACTTAAGATACAAACCTTTTTTGTTTTTACCTTCTGGGGGAACAGGGAGCCGGTCCGTCCACCCCAAATCCAACCAGAATGGACACCAGGTGAGTTAATGTTAACAAGCCTCAGCTGCTCATTAAGCAATTTAATCTCTCGTTTTATCGCCTGATCTCCATCACTAATGTTATTGTGTCCCAGAGTTCAGTCTGACAAGAAGAACCTGGGCAAGCCTCAGCTCAGTCGATCAGACTCCCACGTAGATCTGAAGATCTGCATCCTGGAGGACTCTCAGATGGAGGTGGTCGCACCCCAAGGTAATTGCACAGCTGTTACTTGTGTGTCCAGAAACGGCTTCAGTTGCCATCCATACACAGCAAGCTTGTGGATGCTAGCAGACAGCAGAGCTATTGTCTTCTGCCCGTCCTTAAAAATATATGTAAATAATTAACTTTATTCCTTGTGCTGTGGTGACACGGCATGGTGTGGTCTATGACAAGTACTGCATATTGTATATTATTCGAAATGGTTTTGTGAAATTTTCTTTCAATGTCAACTCTGACTTTGGGCAGTAACCATGAAGGTCTAATGGTTAGCCACCCTAGGTACTCATGGGTCTACTGTGGATGCTAGACTGCTAACAGACAGGCAGACAAACTGAGCCGATTACATTACATGCGGGGCAGGAATTACCGTGGTCTTGACTTGTCTAGTCTTTGGAAATGAAACAGTCTTTAGAGACCAGCAGAGTGGGTTGAACCTGTAAAACATGAATGAGAAATAAAAAAGTGTTACGTTCCCCTGAGGGGTCTAGGCGGTGAGGGGGAGGTAACAAAAAGTGTCCGGGTCAGAAAAAGGAGACAAAAAGGC